GGGCTAACCCCCAAGAAGCACCCAGCCTCAGATCTCGTTCCTTCCAAACACAGGCCAGACACCTCCAGGAGCAGCAGGGAGAGGCTCCAATCCACACCATCTCCCACTGGGGATGGAGACCCTGGGCACACTTCAGTGCAGAGAGCAGCAGGGCTGGGGCACGTTTTCATCAAAGGTCACTTGAACAAGAGAGGGGGGAGAATCCCCAAACAGCCGGCACTGGCTCAGAGCAGAGTCACAAGGAGCAAACTGAGATCACCATTTCTTCATGAACCGAGCAATTAACAAGTGACACCTTTGGGCATCCAGATGGGTCATTACTCAGTGACTAATATCCCCCCTAATCCATGTGACCTTCCTGTCTCCATCCCACAAATCCTACAGATAGACTGGCGCCTTTATCAGCAAGCAAACAGAGTCAGGGCTCAATTTAAAAGCCACAAGAGCCAGCATGGAGAAACTGGCCACTGCACATAGTCCCAGCTGAAGAAGGGGCAGGGGGACCTGCTCATGAGCTGCCCCAGTTCTGACCCTGCATCCAGCTGGTTGGGGAAGCCAGGCAGATCTAAGGAGATCTCCTCTTTCAAGAGCTCCCACTTGTTTCCTAAGCAGCTGTCCTTAGTTTAATCAGTAACTGAACAAGTGGGATGAAATCCTGGCTCAGCTGAAGCTGAATTACTGACATCCCTGACCACAGGATTCCTCTCCCAGCTCCATCACCTTTCTCGTCTGGGTCACACAAGATGCTACCAACTGGCCACCCCTGACCTGTTCCCAGAGGGCTGGTCTCCAGCACCCTTCCAGAGCATGCCCTGGCCTCCACCTCTCCTACGACTCTGCACGAGCTCACAAGGCAGCCGATGAACAGCAAGCATAGATCTCAGCTGGGACTTCTCTGAATGCCACACCAGAGGAGCTGCTGGAGCTCAAGGAGGCATTTGAAGAGAGCAAAGCAGGGCTGCTCTGATAACATGAGGTTCAAGCATGAACAGAGGCTCTTACAGAGCTCTGCAAATCACCCCCTCAGCAGTTGGTGTCTGGCTCCCTTCCTGGGACCATCCCTTCCCATCCTCCATGGGCAGAAAGAGATGCGGCAGAGTTACATGGGCCAATATCAACATCCCAGGAAAAGGGAAAAACACAGACTGGGAGAAATAAAAACCAATTTTGTCTAGCAACAAGAAGTGCCTCTCTCCCTGCCAGGTAATCACATCCAAAAGACAGCTCAGCAAAACCTTACCCACCTAAGACTGGCTGATTTCTCCTCCAAAAGCCGTGTTCAGGAAGGGAGAGGTGGTCACAGACGGAGGCTGCACGAGGATGTGATCTACCAAAAAGGGTAATCTAGGAAGATCAAATAGTAGTAAAAACCACACAAGTAAGGGAAGTGGTATGTGGATACTGGAGCAGCATCAGGGCACTCCAAAAGTGTGAAAGGGTGAAAGAAACCCAACCAGACACACCTGATTCGTCAGGCTTTTCAGGACGAGAAAAGCCCTCCTGTCCTCAGTTATTGGGCTAGCACAGCCCAGCATTAAAAGATCCTGCAAGTGTGAACTCGATTAGCTCATTTGCTGCAGGCTGCAGTTGAAGGGTGCTGTGGCTAATCTTATTTTGATTGCCTTAAAATTCAGTTATGGGGAAAAGCCTGGCACATGAGCAGATATATTAATCGTTTTGGAGCAGCCTCATCTCTGAAGCTGGTGTTTGATTAAAAGGGAGCACAACCAATAGGCACTTCAAAAAGCTGGTGCTATTTTTGACCTGCCTCATTCGGAGCAGTTCCTGATGCTCCGACGTGCCTGGCAAACCCTTTGGGACCAACACTTGCATTTTCTTGGATTCAGCGAACGTTTCTATACCATTGCTCACATTTTAGGGATATGTGAGTAAACAGAGAAAAGGGATTTGCTTCCTACTGAGAGGCTAAGATTAAAAGTAAAAATGGTTTATGTGAATACATAAGCAGTAAATACAGCTTCTGAAGGCTCAATTTGCAAGAGGTCCACAGGCTTAAGCGGAGGCCTCTCTACCGTACATGGTTGGGAAATGGTGTTTAGGTAACTGCAAAGGAGACTAGGCAAAAAGTCAGAAAACAGTGTCTAGAGGAAAGGAAGGATTTTCTCTTCTAACTCATTATAATTTTTTTTAACATATATTTTTAATAATAATCTGAAAAGCCATTTTGCAGCACAATGTCTTGTTGTTCCGCCCTTGTTTTCAGTTGGGTAATTGTGAAGTGAGCAGATAAATGTTTTCTCAGCTGAGAACAAGAGGAACCATTAAGCATCAAATTCCTGTCCTAAATTTACGTTCAAGGCAGCTGGAGAAGCAAAGCACTGAAGCCTGCTCCTGTTACCACCCCGCTGGCCAGCCTGGAGGTGGCATCTTCTCAGCATCTTCCGTGGGGAGACACAAATGGTTGTCCATGTCCCTGCATTGATGAGGCTCTGTGAGGCACAGGGAGACGGTCTTTAGCCCCAGGACAAAACCTGGCTGCTCATCAGCTACTGCCTTGGCTGCTGGTGATTCTTGGTGGCCAACACTAAGCCATGCCCACTTTTCCCAATTCCTTCATTCCCCAAGAGAAAAGGGTCTCTGGAGGGCCAGGGCTCCAGCCTCAAGGATACACAGTGTTCAGAGGTACAGAAATCTCAAAAAAATCATTACCATGTCTTGTGCAAATGCCCTTACAGAAGTTTCCTTAATTTAGGCGCAATCCTTTTTTTCCTCTAACTTGGAAAGCAGAAAGAATAGCAGCTGCACCCAAATCAGCAGAAAACCCCAACATCTCTGGGCTCCTGAGTTACTCCAGCACAGTGTGGGTTTCTTCCAGCTGCAGTATCCCTGCTCCAGCTCAGACAAGAGGCCAAAGTCCTTGTGGTCATGTCACGATCAGAGAAAAGGACATGGTGCTCGCTTTGCTTCCGCTCTGGTGACACTCCACCCTGCACAGGCACAGGGAGATAGGGTAATTTTGGGACCATGGTGAGGAAGTTGCTGCCTTGAACGTTTCCCAGCAGGGAGATGCAAAAAACCACTTGGTCCATAAAGATGTGATGGCAGGAATGGCCTCCTCAGCCCAGCAGGATGCTCATGTGTCATTAATCCAAATTTAAAATAGGAATGGTTAAAGCATCGACCCCTGAAGAAAGTACCTGTTGGGGAGGTGAGGAAATAGCACCACAAGCTAAATAAAGGACTTGGGGAGCAATGTAACACATTTCTACTACCTTGCTAGACTTTTCTAAATGCCTAGTTTTATATCTAAGGTGGATGAGCAGCATTTTCTCCCTAGAGAGAGTAGGAAAGGATCCTCTTCCACAAAGCCCCTTTTTCAATGAAGTTTGCTGAAATTTTATTTTCTGTGGGATTTCTACATCCTGTAGCACTTGCGTGGAGGAAGCTGGGGAGACGGCATGAACACCTTTGCTTACCCCATAACCATCCCTATGGACACTCACAAGCCCAGTCCCTTTCCCATCCGAAAAGAACCCCACTCCAGTCACAGCTAGACCATCACCCACCAGAAAATCTACGGCCACCTACAAAACCTCATTTTCTGGAGAGCGCACATGGATTGCAATACCCTCATCCCAAAAGCAAAAAAGCCAAAGCCTACCCACTATCAGGGTCAAATTCCCTTCAGATGGTGAAGGCAACACGCACACAAGAGAAGAAGCCAGGATCACTCACAGAAAGGAGGCAGAAGTCAGAATTAAGGTTTTGTTCTTTTTTTATTATATATATATATAAAAAAAAAACCAAAAATCAACCCTATTTGCAAGAAGTCCAAATGCAATGGAATAGAATTGGCACCATTTAAGATACCCAAGTGTAAAATCCCAAAACATTTGAACCCCCTGGCATGAGCTAGGAGGTGCCAGGGCTGGTCGGGAAGGACCAGTGGCCTCCCCCTTCTCCTAGCCCCCATCGCAGCAGGCAGCCAGAGTGCCAGGACACAACAGTGGCATCAACGGTCTCTGTAAAACCATTCAGTTTTAGAAACTAAGAACATTATGAAAAGAAAAATAAAATCTAAAACTTTTTTTTTTCCTGTATCAAAAGCCCTGCTTTAGTGACATGCTAGCCCCGCTGGAAAGGTAAAACACCCACAGCTCTGTCCAGAACGTGATTAAGTTGACCGGTCAACTCCTAGTTCAGGACAACTTTCTCCTATTGATCTAATGCGCTTGTAAGCACGTTGCGGCTGCTTGAGTTACAGTGATAAATGTTTCTGCGGGCTTCCCAGGCCTGGGAACCGCCTCCTGCAAACTCCATGCTGAAACAAATCTCATCCGAGTCTCCTCCACCAAGCCCTCCAAGCTCACCCTCAGTCCCACCTGAAGGCCCTCCGACAGCATCCTCAGGAGCTCTGCCTGCTCTAGCTGGGTGAGTCATTGGAACGTCATCTCTTTCTTTTTTTTAAAAAGAAAAAAAACACTTTCATATATTTTTTTGTTTGTTTTTATATTTAAATAGAAAAATACTACTTCACTCTGTGTTATGAGGCAGAGACCAGTTGACTTCCAGTGACAGAACCAGTTCTCCTCAATGCTCCTATGCTGGGCTCAATGCCAGAAGGTTCCCAGAAACCTCAGAACGGCCAGAGGACAAAGATCTCCCCGTCACACCACACAGGCAGGAGCACGCGGGGCTCCATCACGGCTCCCATCTTCCCTTCTCCACAGAAGGGCACCAACCTTAGAGAACCACTACCCTGCAGAGAGCCAGCAGTGGGGCTAATACCCCAAATTTGACTCTTGGGGGACTCAGCTTCAGTTCTAAGCTTTCCACTCGCCTACTCGGCTTTTTGCATGTCCAGTCTGTCCCTGGAAGCCACTGGATCTCATCAGATGTACACATGAATTAGACAAAAAATAAAACAGTGGTTAAAAGTTCTCTAACACCCTCTCCTCCTCTTGTCTTCTGAAAGTCAATGACAAACAGACATTGATAAAACTAAATTTGCCCTCCTCCCCACCTCAAGACAACAAGAGTTACTGAGACACAAAACATGTTATCTTGTACCCTCGGGATTACATCTAGAAGGGAAGTTTAGGGGTGTGGGAAGTGTGGGGGGAAGGCGGTGTTTGTGGGCACAGTCCGCTTAGTTCTTGTACTCAAAAGGCTCGTCTCCAGTTTCGTTGAGGAGACACGTGCGGACAAGGGCCTCTGTCACAGCGTAAGGATCACAGTTGGCGGAGGGCCGGCGGTCCTCGAAGTAGCCCTTCTTCTCGTGGCCCACGTTCCTGGGGATGCGGATGCTGGCACCACGGTTGGCAACACCAGCAGAGAACTCATGGATGTTGGATGTCTCATGAAAACCCGTCAGGCGCCTGGCATTGTCCAGCCCCCCTTTGGGGTCGTAGGCACGGATGTGGTACTGGTGACGCTTGCTCAGCTTCTCGATGGCCTCTTCAATGTGCCTGAGAAGGGAGCAAGGAAGAGGTGGGACACCGTGAGGGTCCAATGGATGGTACGAGCATCCAAGCGACAGCAGAGTCATCGCTGTTCCCAAGCCACTCCACAATGAAGTCTATGCCCTACAAACCACTTTTTCTGATCATCTCAGCACAGGGCTTCTCTCCACTCCTACTTCTGATCCAGGCTGGTTCTTGGAAAATGATCCCCACGGCCTCAAAAGGTCCCTCCAGAGTGTTGCATGTGGCACACTACCAGTTTGACCCACGGCCAAATCCCACAGGCACACTCCTTATCACACAAGGTTCTATTTGGGAAGCTCATACAGTCATGGGCTGGCTCATTATCTCAGGGCATCACTAAGATTAGGGCAAGAAAACGGAGCTGCCAGGAGGAATCCCTTCAGACAGCTCCACTGCAACCCAGTGCTCTAAGGTCCCCGCTGGCACATCAGTCCCACATGGGAACTCTGGTTTTACATTTCCAGGATCTTAGTCTTTAAGAAAACACAGCATTTGCTTCCACAGCCTGGCCTAGACAAAAGCCAACGGTCTTTCTCTTTTACCATGGTTATGAACAAAAAAAAAAGACCTATGCTGAGCTTGTTCGCAGCATTGGCAGATCGAGCGCTGGACAGCCTGTGGCAAATAGCTGCATCCTGGCTGCCTGCACTTCCATCGGCACTGATGGAGCTGTGCCGCTGGCTGAACTCCCCACCCAGCATCAACAAGGGAGCGTATCATTATACCAGAAAACAGGTTCAAACCTAATGCCAACACCAGAGCAACATCTCCCATGTGGTCAAAAGCTCTGCAAAAAGCTCACTGCTACCAACCAAGCCCAGCCTGCTGCCTAGCGAACAGATAGTACCAGCCCATCTCAGAAAACTTACTTGAGACCTCCATCTTCCCTCATGTTCTTGGTGCTGAAGTTGGTGTGACAGCCAGCACCGTTCCAGTTCCCAGGGATGGGTTTGGGATCGAAGGACACAATGACACCAAAGTCTTCACACACCCGATGGAGGATGAAGCGTGCAATCCAGAGGTGATCCCCCATCTCAATCCCTTCACACGGTCCCACCTGGAATTCCCACTACAAGGAGGAGTCATCACTGGGTCAGTGGTGCAGACACACCCACAGCAAGACACTTCCCTCCCCCTTATCCTCCGATCATTGATGAAACCACACGGCTTAGAGCCAAAAACTCCCGCTGCCTGGGACTATTCCCTACTATCTCATTCCACGAGGCGCCTGAAACAATTTACCTGGGCTGGCATCACTTCTGCATTGGTTCCTCCAATTTTCACACCAGCATAAAGGCACGCTCGGTAGTGGGCCTCCACAATGTCTCTGCCGTAGGCTTTGTCTGCCCCTACCCCGCAGTAGTACGGACCTGCAATGGCACAGGTGAACAGCAAAGGGAACATGAGTTTCCAGGAAGAAAAAGGCTTAAATTCAGTGAAAACCAAGCACACACACAGGGAAGAACTCTCCAAAGGCTTGGGACGTGTCAAAAAGCCCCCAAATCTGTTTCTCATGGAAGCGCTACCAGAGCAGAGCGCCGACACCAAGCAAGTCCCTCTGAAAGTCTGAGCTTGTGCTCGGTCACACTGGGCAAGAGTTGAAGTCACCTGCAGGCTAGCAAACCGAGCAGCAAATTTAGACGCGGCCAATCTTCATCTTAGCCTTTCTGTAATCATCTTAATTTCACATTTTAGCTTTTGCCAATATCCTGCTTGCTGATATCCACCTTCAGTTCTAGAAACACCTTGAATCTTGCCTGAAGCACTTAAGCTGCGTCACATGGATTACAGTTCAAACACGGCGTTAAGGACTCCTGACCTGGCCCAGCACAGGTTCCCGAGAGGTTACCTTGGGGGCCAGGGAAGCCGTTGGAAGGCCAGCCAAACGGATGTCCATCTGTCCCCAGAAGTGTGTACTCTTGCTCCATCCCAAACCAGGGGTGCTGGTTGGACACCATATCCATAATCCGCCGGCAGGTGTGTCGGAGATTTGTCTCTAGAACAGAAAAGCAACACGAGGCTTATTAGCATCTCCACCTCCATTCCCCACTTCCACTTTATTTACAGCTCGCGTCCCAGAAGCGTTGGTGAAGAATTCCAGGACCAGCCCTTTCTCCACCACCAGCACTTTGTTTGCCTTTTCCTTTCAGGGCAGGGATTACTTCTGTGTCATGCAGGATGCTAAGGGCACGAACAGCATTTCGATAGGTCTCCCCTTCCTCTCCCCAGAAACACCACCTCCACCAGGAGAAGGTCTATTCACCTGCAGACTGGCGGTTGTATTTGAAGACCTCACACAGAACTAGTTTATTGGGATCCTTGCGAAAAGGGTCCCGAAACATGGCAGCAGGTCGCAGGTACATGTCACTGTTGGAGCCTTCAGCCTGGAAGGTGCTGGAGCCATCGAAATTCCACTCAGGGAGATCTGGAGCAGAGAGAGGAAAGAGCCATAGTGACCCAGGGTCCCCAGTCACCAGGAACATGTGCTCCCTGCCACCCTCCAGTATCACATAGGTGAAGATGCTTAGAGACAACAGGCCTACAATAGGTTTAATCCCAGCTCAGCTGATTTTGTTCCAAATAGGGGAAGCAAAAAAAAAAAACCCAAAAAAACCAAAAAACCAAAACACCACCAAAACAAGCAAAAAAAACAGGGGAGTGCAACTCCCCGGCCACCCTGGGAAATACAAGGAGCTGGGCTGCTGGCCAAGACCAAGCGAACCAAGCAGCACCGAGGACATTTCCCATGTCACAACCACCACCGGGACGAGCAGAGCCCCCAGCCACCACACAGGGGTGGCTAGGCAAGCCCAGAGAGGGCAGAGCATGGGGCATCTTCAAGCTGTAGGAACAAGGGGAGCCATGGAACACCCTCATCACTGTGCCACAGCCCAGAGGAGATTAGGAAAGGAAATCACATATAGGTGGAGTCTCATAGGGGGGAGGAGGAGGAGTATGGCCAGCTTGCCCCCCTCGCCCACCCCTCCTGGCTGTGCGCTGCCCTCCAGGTCAAAGCACAGCAGGAGCAGCA